TCTTTGGATATGTTCCAGCTTGTCAATATCCTTAAACTGGGGTGCCCAGAACTGAACACATTATTCCAGTTTTCCACAGAGCACAAGTCCCAAATTTCAAAGATTCTCCTCCATCCAAGCAGGATTCTTCTCATCAGGCTTTCCCAATGTTTGGGAAACTGTCTTTTGTCTATTACCCAATTTTTTAAAAAAAATATTTCCATCCTCAGTAATTAACACAGGTCTTCAACAAAGCTTGCTTATCTAAAAAGGAAAATGAAGAAGGGATCCAAGGGAATTGTCATGTCTGCTCACATAGCACAACACCACCGACTCTGGCTTCAAAAGAACCTGCGACGAGTTCCGATTCACACTGGGGGAATAAATGCAGCTGCTTTTGGTTTGCCTTGGTTTTCTTTTCCACGGGGTAAAAACCTCCACAACTTTTTTGTGTCAGCATAACTTTGGGTAATCAGAGATCTGTTTTTGATACTTCTTTGCACAACACATCATTAATTTGGGGGAATTACCACTACCAAGATGTGGTGGTGGCCACCGGCTTAGATGACAAATTTATGGAGGCGTAAAACAAAAATCAAAACAGGTCTACTGATGGCAATTAGCCATCATCCATAATTTGGCCAGACTGGGGAGTTCTCCATGGTTCAGAGCTGAGTATGGAAGTGTTGCTGTTTGGAGTACAGCTCCCAGAATCCCCTAGCCAGCAATACCCCTGGGGAATTCTGGAAGCTGTGATCCAAAAAAAAAGGTAACTTTCCCACAGTGCACAAGCCCCAGGGGATTTCTTTTTTGTATTAGTGGCTGAGGGATTTTGGGAATTGTAATCCCAGATACTAAAGTTTTCAATGTGACAGTCTTGCCATACTAGTCTTGCTCAGGATTTTGGCCTCTAACTCTGTTCTGTTCTTTTCCAAGCTCTGCAGGGAAGTTACTGATCATGGCCCAGCCCTCTGGCTAAGCAAGGTGAACCCATTGCCTTAGGTGACCGATACAGAAAAACAATGAAGCAGTGTCACTAGTGGATGTGCAGTAGAGTGGAGGGTGAGTCCTGGTGCTAGAATGACTGGGAAGGAAAAAGCAAACACTCCGTAAATACATAAACCCTTCCTCCTCAGAGAGTCCTTGTAAGCTGCAGCAAGAAATCAATTAAACATTGCAATTTGTGGTAAGCTATTACTTTACTAACTGAGTTGGAAATGTGCACACAGCTCTTCCCTGTTGCCCATTGCTGGAGAATTTCCACCTTTACTTTCTGCCTGGAGATGAACCATGAAAACTGGAGACTCAGGACCAGGCCCTGTGAATTGATAACTCTAACTACAGCTCATAGCATTCTGCATGTTTAGCAAAGTTGGCTAGGACTGCTGGTACTTGCAGTCCAGCAACATCTGGAAAGTCACATAATTCCCATCCCTGCTTTGCAAAGCTCAGCCAAATTGAGTTCTAGAAGTGGGATAATTATTTTGCAAGCACCAGATGTGTGTGGTGAAATAAAAACTACTCAGAGCCCACACTTTGTAGCAAGTAAATAAAAAAAATTAAACTGAAGGCACCCTGTACATATTATGAACACGTTAGCTTGTTTCCTTTTGTTTTGCATTATAATTAATTTTGCTTCTGCTGTTTCTGAGGAAGGGCCAACAGCCCACATTTATCTCAACTTTGATTTAAGAGCTAAATTGGCCATTCCCTCCTCAACAACATTATTTTCCTGCAAATCTACTTATTCTGTGCTATAATTCGATACTTCGTTCATCCTAATAATATCCATAGTATCTGCTCTAAAAATGCCTAGAGCTGGCTCAGGATTCTCAAACAGATATAGTTATTTGTCACCTGGCCAACAGAAGCAGACAAATCTATAATGCACAAGATTTCAGAATTCATAATATACAAAGATATTTTTTTTCGGGGGGGAGTACAAGGGGTGGATGCAAGGAGGTAGAGGTCAAAATCCAGTTGTTAGTCCCAAGTAGGGAAGACCCAGTGAAAGAATGGGAATTTGGATCTAATCTGCAGCGCAGAAATAATGCCAATTGGCAGTGCTTTAATTGCCATGGCTCGATGCTATGGAAACCTGGGATTTGGAGTTTGTTGTGGCACCAGAGCTTTGTGACAGAAAAGGCTAAACTACAGATCCCAGCATTCCATAGCATTGAGCCAAGACAGTTAAAGTGATGTCAAGCTGCATGATTTCTCCAATACAGATTAAGCGAAGGTCATTAACTTCCTCTGCCAAAGAGTGCTGATGCCTCAGAAAACTCTAAACCCCAAGATTCTGTAGGATGGAGTCATGGAAGTTAAAGTGTTGTCAAACTTTTCTTTAACTATTTCTACTGTGTAGATACACCCTAGGATCTGGTGTCTTCAGGGTGTTTAGCCTATCCACACTAGCACTGTAAAAGGCTGAGCTGGATCTCAGGGTCAATTCTAGGGCTGGCTCTAACACAAGGCAAATTGAAATAGCAGCTTCAGACTGTAGATGCTGAGAGCTGAAGAGTAGCTATCAGATACTGGAGTAAAATACTAAGTATGATATGCAACCTGCCCTCTCTCTGTGTCTGAAACTAACCTGCTGTCCTCCCATCGCCTCAATTGGAGTTCACTTCAACTCTCAACCTGGATGGCTTTCTGTGTGTGGAAAGGCTGGGCTGAAAACTTGAGAAAATTAGTTATTTGGTCTATAACTCCCAGAATCCTCCACCTGACCTGGCCACCAGTCATGACAGTGGAGTGATTCTGGGAATTGTATAACTTTATCACACATGACTTTAAAACTGCAATTAAAGTTGGACAAATAGCACATTTGGTGATACTTATCATGACACGTTGCCTCCAACCTGTTGCTTCTATGCCTCTGAAGTGTAGTTAGAGTGCATCTTTCAATTGACAGGGAAAACCCATCAATAAGCTCCCAATTATGCTGCTGTGCCATTGGTCCTCAACTTATCGCCTCATTGGTGATAAATTCCTGATGCTGCAGTTCCAGGATTGGACAATTGTGGTTCCAGTCTTCTCCTTTTCTCCTGCCCCCCTTGCTGTTTCCAAACAGGCTAATTTTTTCTCATCTCGCCTGTCCCCCCTCCATTTTCTTTCCTTTCATCTTTGTTTCACTACATTGCATTGCCATAATTTCTAAATTGCATTACAAATACAAATACAAACTTTGACAATCCAAAAGTCACGCCAGATAAGGGCATAGGGCAGGGATGCAGGACTAAAGGGGAGTGTGGAAGAGAACATAAAGGACCATCGACAGCAGAAACAAACCTATGCCACTAGTGAAGGAACGTGAGGTAAGGAAAGCTCCCAAACCCATTAGTATCCATTTCCTTTTACCAACACATTGGCAACAAAAATGAGGATCATGCAATAAACTCATAGACTGAGAAATTCACTCTGAGATGACACAAGGAAAGCCAGAACTGAAATGGTATAAAAGCACAGGCTGAAAGCAATGGGGAGGCTAAAGTGATTCTGGGGGAAAGTAATATTTTCCCCCCAAAAAAGTAATTTTTTCTGAGTTCTGGGAAACCCAAGGAGGGACAAGGCTGGAATAAAGTCCAAGAATGTACAAAGGTAACATCATGAAGGGACCCAAAGGGAGCAGAATGGAAAGAATGAATGAAAGAGAATGATCTGGTCTCACAGTCACCATTTTGAATGACACAGTAGTCAAGAGATAATGGCCACAAAGTTTGCAATGTTATTACATTCTGTTTTATCGTGTGTGGCTGGGGGTAGATGGGGACGGCAGAATGGCAACTTGTCTGATGAATTTTCTCACACATCTCTGCCCCCAACAGATCTTTGCTTCTCAGAGCCATCCCGAGTTTGCAACTATCATCCCCACCCACCCCATTCCACACACATCCTGGAATTTCATTTTACAGTATTAAGAAAGCTGTGATTAGAAAATCAGAGATGGTTGAAAAAGAAAACAACAAAGAATAATCCTCACACCCTTGGGGAAACATTTGCAGTTTGCATTCTTTTTTTCTTTTCTTTTTTTCAGCCTTCCCCTCTTCCAGCTTCATCCCACAGCTTCAGCAGCCAAACCATTACCCTGAGAAGTGAGGCGCTTCTCCAGTTTTTCTTGCTCCATTAAGTTTTGTTGCAGTTCGGGGCTGGCCCTAAAGGCTCTGTGCTCCAACTGTATACAGTCCACTCAATAGTCTTTAGTTATCTTCCCCTTCCCTCTGTGCATTTCCATGAAGTCTGAACAGCATGAATAGATAGGGTGGCATTCTCAGGAGCTGCTTTCTCTCTGTCCCTTGTACTGGAGACTTGCCAAAATCTATGCCTGAGCACTTTGTAGATGTTGAGATTGCCTCTTTGGGTGTTCAGGCTTGGATTGCCACTGTGGATGGATGAGTGGTGATTATTTTGCTAAGATGGGCTTTTTGTTCTGTTTTGTTCCATGATTTTAGTGCCCAGCCTGAGCCGATGACATATGAAAGCAAAGCATTTGCTGCCCAAGGTAGACAAGATCCTCCACTCATGAATACATGGACAATTCCAGGTTCAGAATCCAACTGGAGTAGCAGTAGAATCTAGGTTCTCAATGCTAATGGCAGGACAGTATTCAGTAGGCTCACTTAGTTGGTCCAGAGAAATCCACATGTCACACAAAGCTATGCCCTCCAACTTCTCCCACTTCTGCCACATGGTCCTGGTCCTGAGTCTCCAGTTTTCATGAATCATCTCCAGGGTGGCGACAAGAGTGTAAATTCTGTTTTGGTGGGCTCAAATTCAGGCAAGAAGAAAGAAGAAAGGGCTCTCAGCAAATCTCCAACTCACCTAGTAGAGTAGCACCATGCTATCATTTGCAAGACTTCACTGTTTTGTTGCTGAAGCTTGCAAAGATTCTACAGGCTGTTGTTGTTGTTGTTGTTGTTATGTGCCTTCAGGTTATTTCCAATTTATGGTGACCATAAACCCCATAATAGGTTCATCTTAGGGTCTCCATAAATCAGAAATTACTTGAGGGCACAGAACAACATCTGTGGGGATTTGAACCCTGGTCTTAAGAGTTGTAATCAAATGCTCAAACCACTGCACCACACCGGCTCTCTAGAAGCAAGTAGGCTATATTAAATGTTCCTTATTCTGTCTCCCTAAGTAAGTGAGACAGAACAGTCCTCTCATTTCACCTTGATCTGGAATAGTCCTTTTAGCCAAGATTTCTGTCTTAGGAAGGAAGTACAAAACATCAGAAGCCTACAGGTAATGCAGTAGTATAATATAGAACAGGGGTAGGCAACCTTTTTGAGCCGTGGGCTGGGTTGCTGTCCCTCAGACAATTGACGGGCCGAAGCACCATAAATAAATAAATAAATAAATAAATAAAAATTAAAATTAAAAAAGAATTAATTTTTTTTTTAAAAAAAATGCATGCACACTCTCTCAGTCCCAGAAAAGCCATGGCAAAACCCCTGTGGAGATTTTGCCAAGAAAACCCCAAAAACAAGTAATAACAACAGTAATCAATATCATCATGGGGGGGCGGCGGCGGTGGGGGGGGCGGCGGCGGCAGGACCGGTTTGGGGCCAGTCCAAAGGCCTTGCTGGGCCGCATCCGGCCCCCGGGCCTTAGGTTGCCTACCCCTGATATAGAACAATGTAAAAGGACACATATATAAACAGTTTACAAGTGGTCTTTCTTCACAGAAAAATTCTGTGCAGAAAAATTCTCTTTTCTGTGCTGGCTGATCATCTGCACATTTTGCGCAGAATAATTCCCAAATTGCAAATAGGCTTTAAAAATTGTGTTGTTTTTGAAGATTTTCTCATGGTGGGAAGAAAATTGCTAAAATGACTCATTGCTTCCTTCAGTACAAGCATACTGAAGAATTGCATCTCTAGTCCTCTGCAGCTCCTGTTGACAAAACTGTTAGTTCCCTGCCTACTAGGCAGTGTCTACGTCTTCCTTCCATAAAATACAATATGGCTTGCATATGTCTTGACATCACAACATTCTACCTGGTCTTACCTTCCAACAAAGTAAGCTAATGTCACGGAGAAAAAACACACAACAGTAGCTCACAACATATCCAGGATAAGTGAATATACACAAAAGGGGAATTGACAAACTGCCCCATTGGAATCTGTGCATGTCTAACAATATCTATGAATGAGGGCCTTCTTGGTAGCTGCTCCTAGGCTGTGAAACTCCCTTCAAAGGAAGGTCAGGCTAGTCCCTTCCCTGTGGTCCTTTCACTGGCAGGCAAAGATTTTTTTAAAAAATAAATTAGGCAGATTTTAAGCAAGAAATGGCTATAAAGAAAAGTGATTTAATGAATTGGCGTTATGACCTTTTTAAACATGTGTTTTAAAATATTGTCATCATATTTTTAAAGTTTTTTTTTAAACTGAACAGTGTCTTAATGCTATACAGGTTGAGTTTCCCATATCCAAAAGTCCAAAATCCAAAAATACTCCAAAATCCAAGACTGTCCACATGGGTGGCTGAAATAGTGAAACCTTTGCTTTCTAGTGGTTCAGTATACACAAACTTTGTTTCATGCACAAAGTTATTAGAAATATTGTGTATAAAATTACCTTTGGATTATTTGTAAGATGTGTACAAAGCATAAATGAACATCATGCTTAGATGTGGGTCCCATCACCAAGAGATCTCATTATGGATATGCAAATATTCCAAAATCCAAAAAAAAAAAAAAATCCAAATTCCAAAACACGTCTGATTCCAAGCATTTCAAATAAGAGAGACACAACCTGTATTTGTGTTTAATATCTTTGCTTTACTTGTATCCTCTTTATCTGTTTTTTACCTGTAGCTAGGGCCTAAATACTATAAAAGCACCAGGTTCTGATCTTGGAAGCTAAGCAGGGTCAGCCCTGGTTAGTATTTGGAAGAGAGGCCAGCAACATATACCAGGTGTTGTAGGTTATATTTCAGGGGAAGGAACTGATGAAACCACCTCTGAATATGCCCATTATGTGGGCACTCTGGAGTGAGGCCAGGCAGATGTTCACAAGCACATCCCAGTGCCCATCACTATTGGCACAAGTTATTCCATCTGAGGCCAAAAGCTAGGTGCCCAGCATTGTTCTATCATATAGATGGGCACCTCGTTCTGATCTTGGATGGAGTAATTTGCCCCCGTGGCTGCACAGTGGACAACACAGTGGGATGCGTGTGCAGACAGCCACTTGGCATTACTCTTGGAAAAATGATTTGGGAAGATCTGGAGCAAAAGTTACTTTTAAAAATCTTTGTTAAGGATTCAGTGTGGATTCAGTGTTTAACATTGTCTGGACAGTTCACAGCAGGACCAGGAATTAAGCCCTATGTCATCAGAACTGATCAGCATAAGGATGGGGGAAGAATGGGTTATATAATAATAATAATAATAATAATAATAATAATAATAATAATAATAATAATAATAATAATTTATACCCCGCCCCTCTGAGAACAATCGGGGCGGCTAACAACAACACACAGTGGCATCACTAGGGTTGGTGTCACCTGGGTGTTGTAACTCATGGTGTCACCCCCCCCCCATTGACCTCCTCCCATTACTACACCATACAGAATCCTTAGTAATGTTTTTTGTACTAATGTTACTCATGAATCATAATTCCCATTTATCACTGAATCTAATGGTAACAGTTGTAACATGAACAACCAGCAAAATTAAAATTATACCTTTAAATTACAGTATCATACGGGCAACCTAAATGTATTTACTTAGGTGTAATTTCATGTGGTTAAAGTAAAAAATGTGATATTTCTAACGAAAATTTTAAAAGAATAAAATTTGTATTTTTTATAGAAAAAAATAAATTTTTTGAATATCTTGACATTTGAATTTAAAAACACTTGAGCCTCTCCTTTCGTCTCTCACTGAGCCTCACCCCACTCACAGCATCTCTTACAGCATTTTAAATGGAAACAGGTGAATGTCATATCCAATTTCTGCCCAAATGTAGATGTTTGAGAAGGAGCGGTGACACACACACACCCTTAGGGTGGCATTTGGTGTGATCTGAACATCCCACACTCCTCTAGTGATGCCACTGTGGCCACACAGACACAGAGGAAGACAAAAAGAAAAATCCCTCTGAACAAATCTTACCAAGAAAACCCCGTGTCAGGTTTGTTTTAGGGTCACCATAAGTCAGAAATGACTTGAAGTCATGCAAGGACAACAACCTCATAAATCTCTAATGTCTCAACCTGAATCTGGCCATATGGTCTGGAGCAACATCTTCTGTTGTCAGCTTGTGACTTTCAATGTCTTCTGTTTCTATCAAGATCCCTGGGGAAAGGAAAGAGCAGAAGGATGCTGAGGCTGTAGCAGGGAGCTTGAGGTGGCGTGAGGAGGGGAGACCATGGTTTGTTTGGGATTAGCTTTTCTTCTGATTCTGACTAAGAAGCTTATCACACTCTTAAATAATACAACTTACCTGATCGAGTTTAAAATTTAAAGGGGGTGGCATCCTGAAGGATTTAGCTGCTGAAATTGCCACCCGGGCCCAGCCCAGGTCCAGCCCTGCTCCCAGGTCCGCTCCGGTGGCCATTTTCTCAAGTCAGAAAACTCCCAGCTTTGAAAAGAGGCGCGCTGAGCATCCCAGGAGTAGGAATGGACCCAGGATGGATCCAAGCAGTGATTTCAGTAGCTAAATCCTTCTGGTAATATCAAGATGCCACCCGCTTTGAATTTTAAACCGGATCAGGCAAGTTGTATTATTTAAGAGTGCGATAAGCTTCTAGGTGTTTGATCACATCTTGCAGAGAGAAGGAATGTGGACCAATGCAGACTGGCCTAAAGGACCAGCTTGGGGGTGGAGTTGGGGCAGGACAACTGCACGCCGGTTGCCCTGACTCCACCTCGGCTCTGCCCCGACGCCGCATGCCCTCTCTCTTTTGGGGGCAGCAAAAAGGAGGATCAGGGCCACAGTGTGTGGTTGCCATGGCCCCAATTCTCCACTTCCAGGGGCAGCACAGAGCTGCCCCTTATGGGCCATGTGCATCGCCCCGTGACATCTTTCCTACAGAAAATCCCTTTGTGGCTACCAGAAGCTCCTCTTGGGCCTCATTTGTGGCTTCTGTCAGCTTCAAAATGCTCCCTCAGTGCACCTGTCCATAGCAGCCAGACATCACCATAGCTTTCTCTGTCTGAAGAGCCTGAATGAAAGTTGAGAAGCAAAAGAGATTCTTCTCTGTTGATCATTCTGTCCATCTGTTTGCCCCTGTTTCTCTCAGGGCCCTTCCATTCTTCTTGGCACTTGAACAACATTTAATGGGAAAAGTCTTCTTGTGGATTTAATTAAAGTGGTTCCAGAATGCACAGAATATAGCATTGTTGTATTTATGCTTACTCCTTAGCTGGGAAGAATCAGCTTCCAGAAACTCTGAGAGCCATGTGTCCAACCTTTCTGCCCAGAGATAGATCACTTTCTCATGGGGTGGACTACATTCCAGTTAAGACGCTGCATTTTAAATCTCCGTGTGCAGAACCATACCTTAATAGGGCTATGCAACCCTTGTGTTGAATGGCAACACTGCACAAACAAATGAACATCCATGAGTGTACACACTGCACATTGTCTGTCCATGCTCAGTGCACACCTGCGTGTACACAAAGGCACTCTCTGTGTGACCTTTCTCACATCCTTGAATCCAATGTGGCCATTCTGCTTTGGACAAAAATGCCCAACCACTCCCGTAGGGGAATGTTAAGTCACCAACAAGGTTCTGTCCCATGTCTTCTGCCCTGGAGAATCAAGCATCCAACCAAGGAGCTCACAGCACTTCTTGTGCTGATAGGAGTGAGCATGGCCTACTATACTCCCTCATTCTGGCCCAGGCTATGTCCTTCTATAAATGTTGGTGGAAAGAATTGGTACAACCTCCAGACAATAACTACTATATATACTCATGTATATGTCTAGAATTTTTATTCCAAGAATTGATCCCAAAAACTTGGGTTGACTTATCCAGTTGTTTCTGACTTATTGCAACCCTATCATAGGGTTTTCTTGGCAGGATTTGTTCAGATGAGATTTGTCTTTGCCTCTCTCTCAGGCTGACTCATCCAA